CTAAGAAGAGCACAGCAAAGTCATCTAGTTTATGTCTGCTCTGTGAATTGGTATGTCTTTTCTAGAAACTAGACCATGTTTGCGCAACTGTATATTTTTTACCACATCAGAATTTTCCCTCAAGGTATATTTCAAGCAGTTAATTTACATATTACTCAAAATTGATTATTACCATAACTGTTTTTATGTATCAGAACATAGGGTCAGTGGCTCTTTTTTTTTGCTTACCAGCAATTAGTGATCCTATATGAAGTCTCTAAAAAGAGTTTTTAAGATTCAGTGAAGCAATGAACAACTCTTCCATGGAGGTCAAAGACTTGACTTTTGGAATAAGGAAAAAAAATGTACTCTGCAAAGAGAAAGGCTTGAATAGGAAGATTAGCTTATGATTTGCTAAATGTATAACTGGTTAATTACCTTCTCAAGTCATAGTTTCTTTTTTTGTAATTATGAGAGTAATAGTGCCTAGCTAATATAATAATTATACAAATTAAATGAATTAATGAATGTGAATTTTTTTTTAGCTCAAAATTCTGGCCCAAAGTCAGCCCCAAGACAGGGGAGCTGATAGGCAATCAAGCATCTGTTAGAGAAATAAAAATGAACATTTCTAGATTCATTTTGAATTGGGGCTAATCCAGACCCTGTCTTATGTCCCTGTACTTTTTGTGCTTCTCTGGTTTGACCTCATTTTTTCTACTGAAGAATAGTTACTCCCACTCCTATAGGCTATACATAATCTCAGGGCTCTTGAGCTTGAAGATCCAGCTCTATAATCCGAGAGGGTATCACTGTCCTCTGTGTTTATTCAGTCTAGAAGAGGGATTCAGTCTAGTATATACAAATATACTTAGCTTGTGCTAAGGTAGGTTCTCAAGGGAACAACTAAAGTGGTATGGTATAGTGAAGAATAGAGTTTCAGAAGGTGAAAGGTTTATTGGGATAAAAGAAAAAGGGAGCCGGGCAGGCAAATATTCTATTATTGTCATGATTATCACCAACATCATTTACAGTTCATTATGGAATGCTGTTTCTTTAGGACCCAGCAGCCTATTTACATCTGAAAATTCTCGTTGAATTTCACAACCATTAACGAAAGTGGTAATGTTGGAATCGGGAATGGAAGAATCAGTGCTGTAGAGTTCAGAGTCTGGCTATTCCTACTTCTTGAGGAAACTACTATTATATGTTTTAAGACTGGATAAACAGCTGTTTTTATTATGATTCTCTACTAATATCTAGCTCTATTCATTGAAATTATAGGTATACACATATGTATGTTTATGTATAGTTGAAAAGCTGTTGAAAAGAATTCATAAAATGCTTGTTCTTTATAACTTCACTGGTGTTCTATGGACAGGCAAACATTATATTTTCCCCAAGCTGGGGAAATATTAATGCCAAAATAAAGGAAATGGTGCTGACATTTTTTCAGACATTAAAAATGTTATCTTTCTTTCAACTTCTGGGTTCAAGAGTCATACAGGATCCTAGACCCCAAGCACCCAGCACCTTCTGCCTACTGACACAGGACTCTCAAAAGCACAGCTACAGCATCAGAACCACAGATTCCTCCTGCCTATCTCCAGTCCACAGATTTTCTTGCATACCTGTGGCAACCTGCTGGACAATAGGAGCATACAGAGGCCCTATCCAAAATGGCAGAGTCCAGTAGAGTCTGAGTACCGACAGCGGAGTGCAGTGTCTGTAGGGCAATCAAGCTACCACATGGCTGACTCTGAAATGTTTGGTGCTTTCAGGGAGAGAGGAGAGGACCCCTATGGGCAGACTCACACAGAATACCACCCTCAAATGTTCCAGGTACTCCCACCATCTTGAACATGACTCCAGGTTCCAAAGATGTGCAAATCATGGAAATCTTAGACAACCTACAGTTCACGATTCATGGCTCTACTAGCTGTCCTGAGGAGACACAGTACTTGAAGTCCTAGGCAGAGCAGTAAGACAACTAAAGGAGATCAAGGTGAAACAAATTGGAAAGGAAGAGGTCAAAGTGTTTCTATTCACAGGTGATATAACAGTATACCTAAGTGACCCCAAAAACTCTACCAGAGAACTCCTACAGCTGATAAACCTTCAGCAGAGTGGCTGGATAAAAAGTTAACTCAAAAAAATCAGCAGCCCTCTGAATACAAAGGACAAATGGGCTGAGAAAAGGAAATAGGAAAACAACACCTTTCATAATAGCTACAAATAATATAAAGCATCTTGGTCTAACACTAGCCAAGCAAGTCAAAGTATGACGAGAACTTCAAGTCTCCAAAGAAAGAAATTGAAGAAGATATCAGAAGATGGAAATATGTCCCATGCTCATGGATTCATAGGATTAACATAGTAAAAATGGCCTTCTTACCAAAAGCAAGCTACATATTCAATGCAATTCCCATAAAAATACCAAAATAATTCTTTTTTTTAAATTTTATTTTATTAATTACACTTCATTCACTTTGTATCCCCCCATAAACCCCTCCCTCCTTCCCTCTTGGTCCCATACTCCCTCCCCCTTCTTCAAGCATGCCCCTCCCCAAGTCTACTGATAGGGGAGGTCTCCTTCCTTCTGATCTTAGTCTACCAGATCACGTCAGGAGTGGCTGCATTGTCATCTTCTGTGGCCTGGTAAGGCTGCTCCCCCCTCAAGGGGAGGTGATCAAAAAGCAGGCCAATCAGATTATGTCAGAGGCAGTCCCTCTTCCCATTACTATGTAACCCACTTGGACACTAAACTGCTTGGGCTACATCTGTGCTGTCGTTCTAGGTTATCTCCATGCATGGTAATTGGTTGGAGTATGAGTCTCTGGGAAGACCCCTGTGTTCAAATTTTATGGTTATGTTGCTCTCCTTGTGGGGTTCCTGTCCTCTCCAGATCTTACTATTTCCCACTTCTTACATAAGATTCATGCACTCTGCCCAACTTTTGGCCATAAGTCTCAGCGTCTGCTTTGATAGTCTGCAGGGCAGAGCCTTTCAGAGGCCCTCTGTGGCAGGTTCCTAGGTTGTTTCTTGTTTTCTTCTTCTTCTGATGTCCATCCTCTTTGCCTTTCGGGATGGAGATTGAGCGTTTTAGTCAGGGCCCTCTCTCTTGATTAGTTTCTTTAGATGTACAGATTTTAGTAGGTTTATCCTATGTTATATGTCTATATGAGTGAGTATATAACGTGTGTGTCTTTCTGCTTCTGGGACAGCTCACTCAGGATGATCCTTTCCAGGCCCCACCGTCTATCTATAAATTTCATGATTTCCTCATTTTTTATTGCAGAGTAATACTCTATTGTATAGATGTAGCACAGTTTCTGCATCCATTCTTCAGTTGAGGGGCATCTGGGCTGTTTCCAGCTTCTGGCTATTACAAATAAAGCTGCTACAAACATGGTTGAACAAATGTCCTAATTGTGTATTTGGGCCTCTTTTGGATATATGCTTAGGAGTAGTATGGCTGGATCTTGAGGAAGCACTATTCCTAGTTGTCTGAGAAAGCGCCAGATTGCTTTCCAGAGTGGTTGTACAAGTTTATATTCCCTCCAGCAGTGGAGGAGGGTTCCCCTTTCTCCACAGCCTCTCCAGCATGTGTTGTCACTTGAGTTTTCATCTTGGCCATTCTGATGGGTGTAAGGTGAAATCTCAGTGTTGTTTTGATTTGCATTTCCCTAATGGCTAATGACGTTGAGCATTTCTTTAAGTGTTTCTCTGCCATTCGATATTCCTCTACAGAGAGTTCTATGTTTAGCTCTGTTCCCCATTTTGTAATTGGATTACTTGGTTTGCCTCTTTTCAGCTTCTTTAGTTCTTTATATATACTGGATATTAGCCCTCTGTCAGATAAAGGGTTGGTGAAGATTCTTTCCCAATCTGTAGGCAGTCGGTTTGTTTTGATGATGGTGTCCTCTCTACATGCCTTGAAAGAACCATTATCAACTTCATACAGAAAAACAAAAAACCTAGAGTAGCTAAAGAAATCCTTAATAATAAAAGATATTCTGGAGTTATCTCCATACCTGATTTCAAGTTGTACTACAGAGCATTAGTAATAAAAATTGCATAGTACTGGCATTAGAAACAGACTAGTTGCTCAATGGAAGTGAACTGAAAAATGCTGCAATAAACCCATACACCTATGGACACTTGATTTTTGACAAAGAAACTAAAACCATACAATGGAGGAAAGACAGCATCTTCAACAAATGGTGCTGGTCTAACTGGATGTCTACATGTAGAAAAATACAAATAGAGCCATACTTATCACCCTGCACAAAACTAAAGTCCAAGTGGATTGAAGACCTCAACATAAAACCAGATACACTAAATATATTAGAAGAAAAAGTGGGGACAAGCCTTGAACTCACTGGCACAGGAGACAACTTCCTGAACAAAACACCAACAGCTCAGGCTCTAAGGTCAACAATTAATAAATAGGAACTCATGAAATTGAAAAGCTGTCAATAGAACAAAACAGCAGCCTGCAGATTGGGGAAAGATCTTCAGTATCCCTACATCTGACAAAGAGCTAATTTCCAAAATATATAAAGAACTTAGGAAATCAAGCACCTACAAACCAAATAATCCAATTAAGAAATGCACTCTACCTGACAAAGGTTCAAAACAGGTGTTGAGACTCACAGCCAAACATTGGATGAAGCATAGGGTGTCTTATGGGAAAGTGGGAGTAAGGATAAAAGGACCTGAGGTGACAGGAACACCACAAGAAGACCAAGAGAGCAAACTAACCAGAGCCCAGATGAGCCTGTGGAGTCTGAAGCACCTACCAAGGACCATGCATGGACTGGACTTAGGTCCTCTTCATATATGTAGCCAATGGTTAGCTCAGGCTTCACATGGATTCCCTAGTAAGGGAAGTAGAACCTGTATTAGTTTCTGTGGTTGAGATATGCGGGTTTTGTGGATTTTACTTTCTCCTGGGTTTTGTGATGATCTCTGTTGTTTGTTTCTTGAGTATATCTGACACCTGCTTTCTGAGTTTTCAGGATTATAGTAGACGATGCCGTGGATTGGCAGCCCCATGACAAAATTGTCCTCAGCTCTTCTTCTTATGAGCCTCATGAGGCAGAGGCCCTCACTGTCAAGGAAATCAAAGGCCATCACATCAGGATCTTTGAACGTCTTAAACACCGGCACATTGGTATGGCTTTGCTTTATTGCATGCTTCATGGATTAACCATGAAGAATCTGCTTGGTCACCTGCCCAGGTATACTGCACGTGATTGACATTAGGACCGCAAGGAGGCTACCTGGTTGCTGCCTTGTCTTAGAGAACTTTCTCAAAATTTCTCCCCTTCCCTATCACTACCCTCAGCCCCCTTTCTCCTTTCATTTCCACTCCCTCCTTCCCTCTCTTCCTTCCTTCCTTCCTTCCTTCCTTCCTTCCTTCCTTCCTTCCTT